TGGTTTGATTCCAATTCGCCCACAAGTTAGACTTTTGGCAGGGAATCTGTTTGGAGAGCCCTGTTGGGTCCAATGCCATTGTCTTTTCGTGAATACACATTCCCCAATTGAGATTTGAGTGTGCCCGATGTCACCCCTTTACTACAACAGATTATGCTAACTCTTGACCGTTGCTCACTTTGCTGAAAGTGGGTTTGTCTCGACACAAACACAAAGACAAGCACAAACACGCAAACACCAACGCCAACACAAACACAAACACAACAACTACAGACACAGACAGACACAAACAAACACGCACAGACAGACACACCCTCAAGCAGATGGCAGACACACCCGAGTAGATGGGAACTGTGCCATCGCCCCATTGCAATGTCAACCTCAAAGAGTTTTCCAGACGACCATACTGATCAGGCGTGACATGCCCCTTTTAGTGGAGGGCTAGTTCCTTTCAAGGGGGAGGGATTCCTTGAGTCGGTATTGTCCTCGGGGCTTGTTCTGGGGAGCTACTAGATGAGTTGACCCCTCGTGTCGATGAACATCCAATTTGCAGGCAGGGGTATTGAGCTTATGCGGCTCACATGGCCACAGTACCGTGAGGTCAGAGGTGACGCACGCAGAGACCCGATTCGCTCTTATGGACGTGATTTTGTGTTAAAAAAGCAGGGATCGTCATATGTGTCCCTCAAAAAGGGTGATTTGATTTAAGCATCACCTTTCTGCACAATGTACAACACTTCCAAAACCCGAAATAAGGAACCCCCAAGTAAAGGATCTTTACCATGGCTTTCGCTCGTAGCCCCGAATCGGTGAGCTCGCCATTGGTTTGCTTTCGGTGAGACAGGGTTCCACTTTTGACCCAGGGTAGACTTAAACCCATGGTTCATTCCCCGAGAGCCGGGCTTAGGTCCATCTTGGGGTCAACAGGGTGGGGCAAAACATGGTTTAAACACCGCCTTCACAAGAAATCATAACCAATGGTTTAGACATGTTTAAACCAATGGATAGCCCCACCCTAGTAGTGAAGTGGGTGTGGGTCAAAATTAAGCCACCAGAAAAAAAAAAAAAAAACACCACAGGGTTTAGTTCATGCTTCCACTTACCAGGGCAAGCCATTTGGGGTACACTTGTTTGACCCAAAGCCAAGCGACACCCTTCGGGATCTGAGGCTGCCGCAGCCGCTGGCATGGCAATGGCCGACCCTTCCACCTCGGTGCCGAGAATGCGCTTGGACCGGGTGCAGGCCAGGTTCCCCAACCCCAAAATGGTGGTTCTCCTTTTGGTTTCCCTTAGAAACCCACAAAAAATGGGGTTCCCTCAAAAAAGAGGGTTCCCTCAAAAAAGACACCCCCAAAGACACTGGATGGTTGCGAAATCCATTTCGACCACCTAAGAAGCTCTGGAATGATGCTTCCCCTATGCATACGAACAAGTAAAAGGTTTCAACCTTGGTTTCAATTTGGTGCAGGATTTCGTCCATCCACTGCATAGCACTCGCCCGGAAAGGGAAAAAAACACGGCCCACGGTGGCCAGACCTCTTCGCCACGGGATATTTTTTTGAGGGTCAAAACCACGGCTCTGCTCAGGCCGTGATTCAGAACTCTCAAAGCGCGCAGCCCAGACTTTACTGCTCCAAATCAAGATGGGACCCAAAAAGGTGGTCCTTGATCCTCGACAAATGTTTTTTGGGTTCCTTGCCAATCTGAAGGGGAGCAAAAGCAAGTCGCGGTTCCAGCTTGCATTGCCCTAGGCACCGGCCTTTTTGGCGAATTGACCGTGTATGATGCCACCGAGCGCCTGGTTCTCAGAAGGGTCTCCTTCGGAACGCCTTCGGAACGCCTGCCTTCCGGGCGCAGGTCGCTTGTGGGACGAGTTCGACGAACTTGGCCGGATCGATGACGCCTGAGTCTCAGCATGACTTTGTAAAATACGCCCAAGGTGGGCTCGCAGCACAGAAGAAAGTTGACCTCTCACCAGATAAGTTGGGGAGGTGCTCCATGTCTCTCCCTGATCTGACGACCCAGGAACTTAAAATGAACGAGTCCAAGCTCGTCAAGCGCGCTTTTTCTTTGGATGCCAGCAACGTTCAGCATATGTTGATATCCTCCATCATTTCAACCTCAAGGTGAGTTCAACCTCAAGGTGAGTTCAACCTAAAGGCTTGTTCAACCCCAAGATTTGTTCATTCGCATTTGTAGTGGACGTGTTTGCACTAACACGCATTTAACCTGGTTTTTCCACTCAGACGAATCGCTGGGATTCAATATTGTCCAGAGAACGGCTTACCGTCCAAGACAGAACATGTTTGAAACAACATGACTGGATATCCATGGATCACACGTCCCTGCAAGAGGAAGATGATCTTCCAGGTAGCCTCCCACAGGTGCTATGGTAGTGGAAGGTGGAAGAAAGGGTAGTCTGAGCCAATTACCTGCTCCCATCTGAGGATCTGTTGTTTCAAGGTACCCTTTTGTGAAGGGAAACCAAAGGAAACCAATTTGGGTAACAGAGGTGCAACTCCCTATTTTGACACATACCCAAATTGCATCGACCAGAAACAAGGTCTACAGGAAATCAGCCTGAACCCCGGTGTTTCAAGGCTAGCCAAACCCTCCCTCCCCCCCACGCCCGTGTTCTTTTTTTCCATTTTTCGGGATGCAAACGGCTCGCTCCAGGTGGAGGCCTTGCGGCAGCGGGACGCCGCGGCGCTTCGGTGCCTGGCGGCGCCCGGCGCCCGGCGCTCTCGGCAGATCGATGGGTCGGTCGGTGTGGTGTTCGGTGGCGGGCGGCTAAAACTTTTGACGCCTAGAGAAAGAAGCAGAAGGAGCCCAGATGTTTTGGGGGGTTCAAATCTTTCTGTTTTGATACGTGCCCATTTGGGATCGTGAGTCTTGAGATTTGGGGAACCCTCGACCATTTTGGAGGTGGGCCAGATATAGCGCTCATATTTGGGGAAGCGGGCTCCAAATGGGCAGTTGATCTTGGGTTTCCATTTGGTTTCCGGGTTTACGAGTTGAAGTGGAATTGTTTCAACACAAAGACCCTTTGCCTTTGCCTTCAAGGCCCCCCGAAGAAGGATACAGCACAAAAAGGCGGCGCTCAAAAAGGTGGCCGGAGTTGAACGGGGTCAGATGTTGGGAGTGGTTAACGTCATTCTCCTGGTTTCATCCTAGATCAAACCATTGTTTAGGCCTGTGACCCAAGACTCGGGTTCTCGACGTCGGAAACTGTTTGATTGTTTCCCTTTCAAAGTACCATTTGGGTGTCTTTGTGGTACAAATCACGAGGTCCCTCAAATCATGCGAGATCCTAAGACACCAATATGCTTTCAACGGGATCCTCGGATCCTCGGACGTACCCCATACGCGGCTCCGCGCATGTTCCTGAGGCTCGACAAAGAGATCGACGCGGTGGGCCGAGCCGGGCGAGAGCTGCCCTCCGCACTGGCAGAGGCAGGGGCGGGCACGTGAAGGGCCCAAGAGACATGGGTCAAAACCACTGGTACCATTTTGGGGTAGGTGCACCACCCATTTTGGTCTATTTTAGTGGTTGGATTGGGATGTTCACTGGGGGTACAGGGTTTTGACCCACAGCCATGTGTGGGTGTTGTGGGCACGTGATGTTAGATGCGCAGTGCTAACGCCCGCAGCAGCTGCTTCGCTGTCTGGACCTTGCTTGGAAGCAGCCGTATTTTTTCCACTTGCTTGCAGCGTTTGTGCCCGCAGCCAATAGTGCCCAGCGCTACAATGAAAAAGCCAGCATTGATGCTGGTAGGGTCCCCCAAAGATGTACGCTTTTGCTAGGTCATTGTCTCAGCAAGTTGCCAAGTGCACGTGCTTTTGGCAGGTGATTATTTTTGTTTTTTTGAAGGGGATCTTTCAAAAAGACTGACCCTTTCTCAAACAATTCTTGGAGTGTTTCCCTTTAAACCGCTGTGTAGGCTCATTGTGAGGATGGCGCGTTAATGGGGACCCTCTCAAATTGGCATTTGGATATGACTTGTCAGTGGATGGACCGTTTGGCGGACATCATTTACGTGTCCAAACATTTTCGGAGGAGGCTCCCTTAGAATTCATAGCCATCTCAAGAAGTTGATCAGTAGCTCAGCGACCTTAGAAGGGTTCTAGTGAACGGTTTATCATGTGTGTAGCATCCTAGAAGCCATTTGTGGGCGCCCATTTAGGGGCCAAGTAATGGGGCACCGATCATTCGCCTGACGAAGGCGCGGGCAAAGTTCTCTTCGCTCTGCGAGCTGGTGGCAGGAGGAAACGCGAGCTCACGTGCTCGTGGAGACGCGTGCAGCGTGCATTTGGGGCTGGGGTTGTGTGAAACAGGGGCCTTTGGCTTCCCCTTTGAAGCAAACCCAAAACGCGGAAGGGCGCCCTTTTTGAACCTGGGCGGGTTCCGTTGGCTTCCCTTCGAAGAATCACAAATGCTTCGACCGTGCGAATCCACGGCGGCCGCAGCAGCGAGGAGCTGCAGCCAAGTCTTTGACGAGAATTGGCAAGGTCGAGGCTGACTACACCAAAGCGGAGGATGGGTTGAAAGCTGGCGCTCGCAGGTCAAGGGGCAGAACCAACCATGGGTTCTGATGTCCGGCAGGTCTTGAGAGTGAATTCGCTTGTGCCACTCCCTCCAATCATGGAAGCGACAGGGTGAGTGTTTCTGGCGAGACGTTTGCTTTAATGGCGACACAGGAATCCCCGTGTCCACTTCCATGGTTGCTGATGCGTGTTTGGCCGGGCGGGCAGGGACACTTCCCAGAATTCAGACGTGCGCATTTCAAGATTTCACGAGCTAGCTTTCCACAGCCGCAGAGTTGCGTCTCTTGCTTCAGCAGTGCGCGGGAGGGGGCGGGGGGGGGGGGATGGTTGCAGGAAGATCTGATTGCGGCGTCATCTGCTCACCAGCGCTCCTTGGCCCGTGCGCGACCCAGTTGGAGATGCCCGAGTTGTGCTTCTGGAAGGTTTGTGAAGCCAGGAAGCATGGCTCTTGCAACGGCAAACCAATCAGCTCGAGCGAACAGCAAGAGGTATGCCACTGCGAGTGGCCCTGCGGCTGAAGTCTGGAGTTGGTGCCGGACATGTCAGACTGATCACTCAAGGTGTTGGGAAAAAAAGAATTGGTTCCAAGCTTGAGAAACCCCCCCAAGTGAGCGACCTTTGGTTGATCCCTCGAGGTTGCCGCCGGCTCGGCCAGCAGGCTCCCTCTGCAGAGGCTGGACATACTTTACAACCAGTACCCTCCCTCCATCGAAGCTGACACTACTTTCCTCTTGAGTCTTTTCAGGAACCATGGTTGTTGAAAAGAGGGTACAAGACTTGGTCAAGCAATGGAGTAGTTGGTTGATGCAGGAGGGACTTGGGGGCGACTCACAAAACAAATCCAATGCCGTCACCTGGCGTCATACTGCCAGCATTCCATTTTCATGGTTGTTAGAGCAAGGACAAAAGAGGGACGTATCATGGACCACGGCCACAGCAGCTGATGAAGGCAATCAAGCCCAGAACTAGGTCCCAAAGAATGGCCGTTTTCGGTTTCCCTCCAAAATCAACAAGTCGTTTTGACCGCTTTGGATGTTCTTTTGGGGGGTCCCCTTCATAATCAGCACCGCAAGTGAATGAGTGCAGATGTCTTATGCACTGTTGCATAAGTTTGGGTCGACTCCTTTGTATCGGGTCTGAACCTCCCCTTCAACCACTTCCACCTACTCACTTTTTTGGTATTGGTACGAGTTCTTTCTTTTAGTACCAGGTGGGAGTGACTTGTTTCAGGGCACACTTTTTGGGACTTGTGTAAAGGGCAACCACCAGCAAACCCACAAATTTCGAGGGCCCCCAATTTGAGACAACCCTCGCAGGCCGTCTCGACGGCCCGCGCGGGTCTGGAGCGAGCGCACCTGGAGCTTGTGAACGAGGCCGAATTGGGCAACGAGTGGAGTCGGCGCAGGGAGCGACACCCGGAATTCCCATGGTCTTCCCTGTTCCCCGAGAAAGCAAAACGGAAATGGAAAAACAGCCACCCTTCCCCCTTAAGATAGTTGGTGGTCCGGATGTTGAGGCGGTCCGATTTAACTGGAGATTCATAAACATATTGTGGATGGACGAACATTTCCACCACCTAAGAAACCCTGGAATGATGATTCCCTCGTAAATACCAACAAATAATGGTTTCCCATGGTTTCAAAGTGGTGCGAATTGGATTTCGTCCGACCACAGTATTATTCTGCCCCCACTGGTCGGAAGCGAGGTGTGGACTTGGATCGTCGGTCCCGGACACGACATCAGTGCTGGCTTTTGCGCGACTTTTTTTGGGCCCTAAAAAGCCCTTTGACCAAACATCAGGTACCCCTTAGGTGCTGGCTTGGATTGGTGGTTTGGGGATTTGACCATTTGGTTCTTGTAGGGCTCCAAATCCACCCATTAGAGGGAAGCTGAAAAAAGGTCGACGAAACAGCTGGGGGTTGGAGAAGAGGCGATCTGCATGTTCAGTTCTGTCACTGGCAGATTCGCCTAGCAGCGCAATCGGCGCAGCTGGGTCTTGTTGAGATCACAGGAGCCGACCTCAGTTGCGCTGCTCGATTTGATGAGCTTGTCATTTTTCCAAGGGCTGGCTGGGCCCAAAAGCAACGTTGCAACGACTGAACCAAAGGCAGGAAGCACGTTAAACCTCGATTTTCAAGGGTTTTGGCTCAGTCAGAGGGCAGTCAGTGTTGACAGGATTGTTGCAGGCAAGCCAAAACTAGGCAGCCCCTTTTTGTTTTGTTGTGAGGAAGCCACAAGGCACCCGACAAGTGTTCGGTTGGTCCGATTTTCCAATGCTTAGACACACCAATTCATATGCCACTCAAGGTCCATACTGTGGATGGACAAAAACCTGCACCACCTAAGAAACTCTGGAATGACGATTCCCTTGTAAATACCAACAAACAATGGTTTCCCATAGTTTCAAAGTGGTGCGAATTGGATTTCGTCCATCCACAGTAGGAATGTGACGGGGCTCAGGCACACCTGGCCTTGCGCGCGCGATTCGGGCAGCTGGTCCTGCGTACTCCGAGCCAGCAATAGAAACACCGGTTGCTCAGCTTCGCTTCGGGTGATTTGGATTCAGACTGGAAGTGGAGAAACACCCAGAAGAGCCAGGAGTTCAAATCCCAATCCAAGCCACCAGTCAGGGAGCCACTCTACAAGGCACGTGGTGGTCTTCTCCCGCAAAAGCGAGCTGCCTTTTCCGTCTCCATGACCATCGGAGGTCGGTTCTAGTTTTCCGCAGCAGTCCCGTGAGAAATTGCCGCCGGCGTTTTTTTTGTCTCCTTCCTGATGCTCAGGCATGCGGATCCACTGCCGTGCTCCTAGTCAGACGAAAATCTTGGGACCCCCCAGCTGACTTTTCAGGACAGGTCCTGAGAACATTCTTAGAAGGGGTTCTTAGAGAGAGGCTCTCGCGAGTCGAAACTGCGATGCGAAAGCCGCCCGAGGCTTGAGCGGCTTCTACATCACAGCCGATGGTGTGAGCGTCAAGATACTCGGCTGTATTTCCATACACAACGTACAGCTTACTATAGGAGAACCTGCTCACTTAAAATTGAGCCAAGCTCTATGGGCGTGTCTTTCTTTAGGGGGACCCCCCAAAATGGGTATTTTCAACTGGTTGTTTCCCTTGAACACCTGCCAAAGCACGGGTACTTCAACTCTGAAAAGAGGCGCCGCGCCAGCCACAATTACGCGTCTTTCCAGGCTCAGCATGATCCGCCTGCCGCCAGAAGTCCACTGCCCCAGGCGAAGGGTTGCGACTGGGCCAGGGCGTGCCGTTCTGTTGGCCCCAGATGTCTGTGGTCAAAACTGTTTTGGTTTTGGTTGATCCCATTTTGGCTGGGATTGGTGAGAAAAACCACCCATCTTAGGACCTATTTTAGTGGTTGGATTGGGGTGTTCACGATTTGGGTTGTGACCCATGGCCATATGGGTATGGATCAAAGTTCAACCATCAGGGGACAGGTTTTAGTCCATGTTTCCACTTAGCAGGGTTCCATGTTGGGTACCTATTTTTGACCCACGGCCATATTAATCAACCCCAGATTATTCATAGGAGGGTGCTTCTTATTGGGTTTCGTGGTTAGAATCAGACCACATTTGGCGGGCCACCCCTCAAATTTAAAAGAAGCCGGGGTTGATGATTCTGGGGTCGACATGTCTCAGGGCTATGACCCTCGAAAAAAAAACCGTGGGGGAGCCGAAAGAACACCCGGCCGCACGCGAGGAGCCCAAGGTCTCGTCCACGCCGAGCCGCGCCTCCGAGGACGCGGAGGCAGGTGGTTTGGATTTGAGCGAGCTTCGGCTTGCAGAGGGGTTGCCCTCCCATCTAGGGCTTGAGTCCTTTTCCATTCTTTTCAACCACCGGTAAAAAAACAACATTTTTTTTGTTTAACGCTGTTTTCTCTGGGGTCCTGATGGTTTTCTGGAAAGAAGGATCCCTGGAAAGAATGGGGAAGTGTCCCTTAATTGTCCTTTTACTGGGACCCCTTGTCAGGTTCCAGGTTAATTGAGGTTGATCAAACAGATGGCACCGGTTCAACTTGGTGGACTTTTCTTCGCCGAGAATTTCAGACCCGGAGACGGATTGCCCTAGAAACGGCGTCGGATCGCTTGAGGGCTGCGTGTAGTTGATCCAATTGAACCCATTGGTTAGAACCCACCCAAGCATAAAACAAACAAAAACATGGGAAGCTAGCATTCATCAACCTGGGAAGTGACACCCCAAGCAGTAGCAGTCAACATGAGGGCCTTGTGGCAGGAAAAGGAGTGAGACATATGAGAGGTTGCTAAGAACTCCGGACACGATTTCTTTGCTGGGTTGATGTTGGCAGCCGCTCACGCGGTGTGCCGTCAAAACATGGGTGGTCTCTGGCAATCACTCCCATCACTTGTGCAAAACAAGGATGACGTCCAATTCCACTTGAGACTAATCTTGTTGCCAGTTGAGGGCCCTTCCGGCTTCGCGCGAAAGGCGCAAGCGAAGGCGACTTCGCGCCCGCCAGGCTTTGCTGGAAAGGGCTGAGATGAGGCCCAAGCCAGGTGCCGCCCTGAGAGGGCCGATCGAGACCATCTCCGATGAGAAAAACGCGTTCTCAAGATGGGGGAACAGAAATGAGTGGCTTTGCCCTGAGCTTCAGCAGGCCCCCCAAAAAAAGGAAAGGTTCCCTAAGACATGCCCTGAAAAGCAGCCCCAAAAAAAAGGGGGGTTCCGTCACCATGTCGAAACGAAGTCCTTTGGATGTCGAGCCCTGGTTGAAGCTTCAGCTCACGGGAAATCGCCGCGCAGTTCCGCCAGGAGAGGTGTCTCCTTTGGGCGCCCGAAGTCTGCGCAGAGGGAAGGCAGGGAAGCTTGGGGGGGATTGGGGAAAATTGGGGATGCGGCGCTGCGTATTTCTTGTTCTCTTCAAGTTTTCAAATTGGCAGAGATGTATTTTTCCCAGTTTTGCAATTGTGCTAACTATTTTTTTCTTTTTTTTCTCCTCCCCCCCCAAAGGGATGGGAGATCCACATTGCTCATATCCTAAGTGTTCCCAAAGGAGTCGGTGCTTTTTGGGGGCTTCCCGATTCCTGATTCAATCATTTTTGGAAGTATTCTAATGATTCCAGGCTCATTTTTCTAGTTCAAGTGATCATACGTATGCTAATCATTCTATATCATGGAATTTATAATATACTTAAAAACATTTAGCCCTGTGGTTTTCTTATAGTTATTCTGAAGCACAATGGGATGGGTGCTGTTTGCAGATTTCCAACTTCATTTTCATAATTATTCTAATTTAGTTTAAGGGATGAGTGCCTTTGAGGGATTTCCAGATTACTTTTTTTCTTTTATTGTAATTATTCCGTTATTTGCAATAGTTAGGAAACCGCTAGTTACTCTAAGTGGCCCGATTGCTCTCTAGTTGTTCGAATTTTTCGTAGTGGGGCGGGTCTTTTTCGGGTAATCCAGATTCTAATTTTTCCCCAGGGGACGGGTGCCTTTTGCAGGCTTCCGGGTTCATGTTCTATTTTATCAACTTATGCTGCTCCTTCTAATTCACTAGGCAAGTTAGGATATTTAGAAAGGTATGCCAATGTTTTCTCAGTGTCCTGATTATTCCCAAAGGAAGAGGTGCCTCTTGGCGAAGTCCATCCCATTCTTCTAGTTGTTGAAACTTTGTGATAATGTGAAGAATTTTGAGTTCACTAGTTGTGCTTTTGTTGAACGAATACGAACAATTGGACTACTCAGAATGAATGCACTATTTGCGATAATTGGGGGGGGGGGGGGAGGGCTGGAGTTTGCAATTATTGCAATTATTAGAATTCAATTCCAATACTTGCAACAATTGCAATTTGGGGTCTCTGACTTTTCAATTATTGCGATTATTAGAATCGTTTCTATTTTGGGCTTGGCTTGGGGCCAAATCTAGGAAGAATTATTATTGCAACTAGTGCAATTGGCATTTAATGCCAACAGTTGCAACAATTGGTGGTCCCGGATTTTGCAACTGTAGCAATTATTGGACCTCAAAATGATTGGGGGTTCTGAAATGAGTGATTATTACACTTATCGGACTTCAATTCCAATAACTGCAAGAATTGGGGTTCCCGGATTTTGCAACTATTCGAATTCATTCAATCATCGGACTTCAACTCCAATCCCTCTGAGGGGTGGGTCGGCGGGGCTGGCATTGGGACTTCCGCAGAGGCGGTGGTGAAGTCCTATGGTAAGGACGAGAAGGACTTGCTTGCGCCATAGGCGTTGCTTATAGGTTAGTATAGTTCAAAATAGATGGGTTCCACTGGTTTAGATGGGCTTTGTTCCATTTGACCAGGGAAACCCATCTATTTTGCCAAAAGGCCACCTTCCCGCCTGCGCGGGGTTCGTTTCCGGGTTTGCTTCCCTTTAACTTCGTCCACTCATGGAGGCGGAGCATGTGGGTTCAAGACGAAGCCAAGCTTCTCGAAAAGAGCCTGAAACGTCCACTTCCATGCTTGGAAATAGGGTAAGGAAGGCAAACAACCCCTGAGATTGGTCCAGTGGTCTTGGTGATCGCGGCTTTTTGGGGTCAATGTCCTGCCTTCCCCCCCCCCAACGAAAACCCAGAACGCTCAATGTGCCGCTGGTGCCCATTGGTTCCTTCTGACTATCCCAAGGTAGACTTTCCAGAGGCTTCCCTTAGGCAGAACTGCACGGCTGAGTCTACCTTGGGGCAGTGCAATGCGAAGCTGCTTGCAATGTTTCTCCGAGGAGCTCTGTTTGCAAGAGCTCCGCGCGTTGCTGAAGTTGAAGACACAGCAACATGTGGCGCGCTGAGAGAATGAAAGTCCGGTGCTTCACTGTCACAGGTCTGGCGAGGTTGAGGCGGTCTTGGACTACGGGCTTAGCGGTGGCTCAAATATGTCCGTGTGTGTTCGGGTGCCAGTTTCAGGTAAGGGCACCGCCAGAAAACGCCCCACTTTCCACATACCCAAGCAGGGTACCAAGAGAGTCTGCGTTTTCTCTTTGTCTGTCCAGAGAAAGTTGAAGAGACGTCAAGTCTTGACGGAAGCATCTCCTCAGACTCTGAGTCTGCTTCTGGCGCCAGTCCTTGGGGAGAGAGGACCCGGCGGTTTGGTTGCTTTTTGCAGCTGGAAGGTGATCCAGCTGCTTGACGTCTTCAAGTCTGAAGGCCCGGCGTTTCTGTTGACCGCTGGGTCTTGGACGCCGAAGCTTTCCGCGCCTGCTGCCTGAGGGTGGACCTTTGCGCCAAGAATTGTCACAGCCGCGGAGAAGCGCATGAAAAGGGTAAATACACCCCCTTTTGGTTGGTATTTTCTTCTTTGGACCCACAAGGAAAACACCACCCATTTTGGAGGACCCCTTGAGAAGCACCCAGACCCGGCCAGGGCTGATATACTTGGAGTTCCCATTTTGCGCCGGTGGAAGCATGCATCAGTGGCCCGGCTCCCCGGTCTCGGATCGTTGGGCTCTTTTGCGCTGGTTGCGCTTGAGCCATTGCAAAAGGTCCCGGGATGAAGGAGAATCCCAACCAGAAATTGGTTGCTTGGTTGGTTGGTTGGTTGGTTGGTTGGTTGGTTTGGTTTGGTTTGGTTTGGTTTGGTTGGGTTTGGTTTGGTTTGGTTTGGTTTGGTTTGGTTTGGTTGGTTGTGGTTGGTTGTGGTTGGTTGGTTGGTTGGTTGGTTGGTTGGTTGGTTGGTTGGTTGGTTGGTTGGTTGGTTGGTTGGTTGGTTGGTTGGTTGGTTGGTTGGCTGGCTGGCTGGCTGGCTGGCTGGCTGGCTGGCTGGTTGGTTGGTTGGTTGGTTGGTTGGTTGGTTGGTTGGTTGGTTGGTTGGTTGGTTGGTGGTTGGTTTGTGGTTGGTTGGTTGGTTGGTCGGTCGGTCGGTCGGTCGGTCATGAATTTTGATAGGGAACCACCTCAAAAGTGAATGGCGGACATGCACCCCAAATGATGTCCAAAGGGTCCCTTAATTAAATTGAGTCATTCCCAAAAAGGTGCGGCCGCCCTTCAAACTCATCACATTGGTTCGGTTGGATTTCCACCAGCTTTTGATTGGAACTCGCTTGCCGCTTGTGAGTCGGACCTTTTTTTCTGAGGGGCCGGCGCACTCGATGAGATGTCTGTCCCCGGGTTTAAAATGAGGACTATCCCGCAAGTCAAGGCTTATGAAAGTGATCCTAAAGCAAATGCTTGAGCAAGACATCGCAAAAAACACATGTTCAGTGGATTGCCACAAAAAGCAACGACATGCACAGAACTGACGCGCAAACCCTGCGAACAACTTTTTGCGACAAAGTCCCGGATTGTGGACGAGTTGTTGCTTGTTGCCCGGTCGCGGATTTCAGCTCTTGCGGTTGCTGGTGGTGGTTTGCTTCGAATGCTCAAAACCAATGGTACCATGTTGGGGTAGGTGAATTCACCACCCATCTTATTTCTTTTTGGCGGGGGGGGGGGATTGGCATGCTCACGACGGGGTTTTGACCCATGGCCAGGTGTCAGAAGGTGGGCCCGCCGCTTCTGAGGGGCGATCCAGACGCCTTTGTGCGTGCCCCAGTGGGAGGCTCGCGCAGCCGAAGGCCGAAGGCGTTTGTGTGGAAGGCCCGGGGAATGCGCGGCATTGGACGCGGCAGGTGTGGCGGTCATGGGCTGAGCCATGCCAAGCCCACCCTGAGTTTTCCAATATGGCCATTCCGCATTTACACAAGAAGCGAGACTCAAGTCTGAGCCTTGGCCTATGTCTTCGATTCTGGCCCACTGCGTGCGGGGTTCTATTGGGGGGGGGGATCGGTGGGTTTTGCCCCAGTCAGGTGCGGTGCCTTGCCATCTGGCGGCAGATTTGGCAGGCTGGCTCACGACTTGCTGGTCCATAGCGTTGAGATCTGCACATCGTGCTTCTTTTGAGGCGCCCATTTTGTTGTTGTTGGAAGTTTTAAGCTTTCAGGGATCCGAAACCAACAGAGAAACTATGCCATTTTTGGAGGGTACCATAAAAAGGGACACATACCTTGAAAAGGGCCTTTGTAGCGACGTTGATTCTACCCCTTTGTGGACCCACTTGCTTTTACAAAGGATCCCACCAGAGAAATGGTCCTTTTTTGCAGGAAACAAATTATCATTTTTTCTCTGTCAGCTTGCATGGCAATCTGGACAGGAGGGTACTTCCTGGTGCAAGGGTTCTGGGAGGGCCTGTGCAAACCTTTGCAACCTTAGTAGAGCGCAAACGGGGTTCCGGCGCCGCTCACGTCCATGAATCTGCTGGACGCGGGACCCAATCCCCACAAAACCCTAAACAGGTTCGGATACGCAGGTTCCAGCTTGATCATGTGCGTAGCTATGAGAAAGAACCCAATCCACAGGTCACACGATGAATTTCAAAGCAACACCATCCACTACGGAGGTTTTATGTCAGAACGAGTGAAACAACGATGGGGATGGGCGCCCCCGCTCCGGAATCCGAGCTAAACAGTGAGGAGAAAATCGGTACAGAGATTCGGAGGGCAGTCAGGCGCTGAGCTACATTCACTTGGAGCTGGTTTGCCACGGGGACCTCACCCTGGACAACATGCTGCCCGGCATTGTGCAGTGCCCAAAACTCCTCTTTTTCATGGCTCTTCTACCTGGTTCCACGGTGCTATAGTAAGGGCCATATTAGATATGAGCCTTCCATTACCATGCTGGCAGAACAACAGTCAATGAGCTTCGGCACTGCTTGCTGAACTTGATGCTTCTGGTGATCTCATCTCGCCTTTTTGCCTTCCACTTGGGGCATTTTGTCCGGGCTGTGCAGGCTATTGACAGCCGACCACCACCCCGTGCTGACGGATTTTAGGCTGTCTCCGCTGTGAGTCCAGGAGTGCAAGGGTCGATGGAATGACAGGCGAGTCCACTCAAACAAATCTGCAACATCACAAACACGATGGAAGACGACACATGGAGAAGATCCGCACATTTTTTGTTTTTGCTTGCGTGCTAATGGATTCTATGACAATCGAATAATCTTTGAGACATCTATGAGATCATTTAATTTATCCCGTAGGAACATCAGGCTTGTAGATGGCAAGACTGGATTTCTTTTCTAGTGTTGTAATTCATCCCTAGCACATCTAATTTCAGTTCTCCGTTCGGACGTTGAGATTGACTCATCTTTGCCATATATGCGCATTGGCAGTTTCATGAGCTTACCTTATTTTGACAGATCAGATGTCCACGTTGTTTTTTGGAAAACACTGGAATCCTAAAAGGTAGATGTCTCGTTTGACGACCCCAAGCAATATGTGGATTCCCTTTTGCATCCCAGAATTGGTACGCATCAAAAAAGCGACACGGCTTCCCCCTGGCACTACCCCCATCCAAAAGCGATCCTAAACTGACCCCACCTGCCTGAACTCAACGCCAATCCCCGGACCGCCTTGAAAATCGACCTGAACTCGAGCTAGGCTGCCCTCACTCCCACCATGGCACCTGACAGAGGGTCCATTGAGGAAAATTATCTTCCAGGTACCCTTCCACGAGTTCTATGTTAGTGGAGAGGGTAACCGCCATTTTAAGAGTCGGAACCACCTCAAAAGTGATTGGTGACAATCCCCACGTAAACGATGTCCACCCTTAAACCCAAAAAAGCACATACACCCACTTCCACCCTTAAACCAAAAAAACAAAAACACAAACCCCACCCTTAAACCAAACAAGAACACAACCCCACCTAAGCCCAGCATCTTCTTTTTCTCGCGGAGGTGCAGCACGGTGGCCGGCCACGGCCCGCGCCGGTCCCTGACGCCGGACTACGCGGCGCCGGAGCTGGAGGCGCGGCAACTGGCACCGAGCCCCACTTTTCGGGCAGAGGGGCGGAGGGCATGGGACGTTTTGCCCCTTTTTGGGTTGGTGTTGGGGAGATTTGCCTTTTTTGGTCGGTCGGTTTTACAGGGAGATTTGCCCCTTGTTTGCTTGGGTTTACAGGGCGATTTGCCCCTTGTTTGGTTGGGTTTGCAGGGCGATTTACAGGGAGATTTGCCTTTTTTGGTTGCAGGGAGATTTGTGTTTTTTTTTTAGCGGTTTTACAGAGAGATTTGCCCCTTGTTTGGTTGGGTTTACAGGAAGATTTACAGGGAGATTTGCCCTTTTTGGTTGGGTTTACAGGGGGATTTGCTTTTTTGGTTGGTTTTACAGGGAGATTTGCCCCGTGTTTGGTTGGGTTTACAGGGAGATTTACAGGGAGATAGATTTGTTACAGGGAGATTTGCACTTTTGGTTGGGTTTACATGGAGATTTAACTTGCCCTTATTGGTTGGGTTTACAGGGAGATTTGCCCCTTGTTTGGTTGGGTTTACAGGCGATTTACAGGGATATTTCCACTTTTTGGTTGGGTTTACAGGGGGATTTGCTTTTTTGGTTGGTTTTACAGGGAGATTTGCCCCGTGTTTGGTTGGGTTTACAGGGAGATTTACAGGGAGATAGATTTGTTACAGGGAGATTTGCACTTTTGGTTGGGTTTACATGGAGATTTAACTTGCCCTTATTGGTTGGGTTTACAGGGAGATTTGCCCCTTGTTTGGTTGGGTTTACAGGCGATTTACAGGGATATTTCCACTTTTTGGTTGGGTTTACAGGGGGATTTGCTTTTTTGGTTGGTTTTACAGGGAGATTTGCCCCGTGTTTGGTTGGGTTTACAGGGAGATTTACAGGGAGATTTGCCCTTTTTGGTTGCAGGGAGATTTGCATTTGGTAGGTTTTTCAGGGAGATTTGCATTTTTTGGTCGGTTTTACAGGGAGATTTGCCCCTTGTTTGGTTGGGTTTACAAGGAGGTTTACAGGGAGATTGTCCCTTTTTGGTTTGGTTTACAGGGAGATTTGTTCCAGGGAGATTTGCCTTTTTTGGTTGGGTTTACAGGGAGATTTGCCCCTTGTTTGGTTTTACAAGGAGATTTGGCTCTTTTGGTTGGGTTGACAGGGCGATTTACTCCTTTTTGGTTGGGTTTACAGGGAGATTTGCCCCTCTTTGGTTGGGTTTACAGGGAGATTTGCAATTTTTTGGTTGGGTGTACAGGGAGATTTGCCCCTTTTTGATTGGGTTTACACGGATATTTTTTTGGTTGGGTTTACAGAGGGGATTTGCATTTGTTGGCTGGGTTTACAGGGAGATTTGGTTGGGTTTACAGGGAGAGTTGCGCCTTTTTGGTCGGGTTTACAGAAAGATTTGCCCCCTTTTTTGGTCGGTTTTACAGGGAGATTTTGCATTTTTTGGTTGGGTTTACAGGAAGATTTGCTCTTTTGGGTTGGTGTTACAGGGAGTCCGAAAGGAAAACATTCGCTTGGCCATTTTTGAGGTGTCCACCACTTTTTGGTTGGTGTTGCAGGGAGTCCAAAAGCACCCATGTTTGCGATCATTTTGGCTGGTTTTGCAGCAGAAAGAAAGCCACCTTTCTCATGGGTCCAAATCCCAGGTTCACTAAATGTGGACTAGAATCACACGCGTGGGAGCAGGGTCTCAAAATGGTGACCAACAGGAAACCACTTTAGGGGACCACGATTTCAGAGAAAATCCATACGATCTCTGTGGGCAAAGGCTGAGGCTGTTCAAGGATGGCCCGGGTGTCTAAAATGGGTGTATCAAGTCAGGGAAACCACAACACATGGAACGGTGGAGGGTAGGGGGGTGGCGGGGCGGGGGTCCGATTGATTTGCCTTTGAAATATCCTAACAGGGTACCCTCCGAAAAACAAGCACATAAGTCTTGTCGAACCAGCTGAAAGCAAGGCGGATGCGGCTGCTGCCAGGGCCCTCAGTCGATCTTGGCTTGTGGGGAAGGGGTTCATGTGAGTTAGATGAAGGTTCGTAAGGGACAATCCCAACCATAAATTGGTGCGACCGCGTTTTCAATTCGCTTTCATTGGTCTGGGTAGACCATTTGAATACCAGGTTTTGATTGTGACTCATTTAGTGGGCGACGGTTCTTGCAAGCCAGCGAGGTTTGCATCTCTCGAGTATATAAGCCATGTCTTGCAAGGGCGAGGCGTGAAGCGGGGCTGACGCTTCACGAGGAGCTTAAGTCAATGCTTCAAGCGCAATCAGACCCATAGGTCGGATTTTCACGCCGAGGTTCCGAGCGAAGCCAGCGATGTGTACTCCACTGGAGCTGCAATGGCCAAGGCCAGGTTGGCCAACGTAAGGGTCAACCATCCAGAATGCAGACCTGTTTCAGTCTGGTGAACGATAGCCACGGGCCCAAACCCTGCAGTTTTCCTCCAACGTCACCAGTCTCAAAGGGGAATATTTTGGATGTGGGGAACATCCTCCACAAGAGTTGGTGTACATGAGCTCCATATCTACTCTGGGGGTTCCCAATCTAAACTCATACCCATGCGCACAGATCTCCATCGCTTCCGGACATGCAGGCATTCCTCGGGCTGGACCTGGACGTGGCATCGTGCCGGAGCCTCGTGCCGCTGAACGCGGTCCCAAAAAGGTTTGGCAGATTTCTAGGTAAGGTCCAAAACAACCCCCCCCCCCCCCCCCCCCAAAGATGGGGTTGTTGAAAGGGAGACTGGCATAGGGTGTCCCACTAAAAATAGATGGGTTCCACTGGTTTAGGTCGGGTTTCTTCCATTTACCAGGGCCATCTACTTTTCCAAAAGGCCACCTTTGGAGACAGGGAAAACCACCCAAAAAAAGGCAGTCCCCCTATTTTAAGTCACCTAATTATTTGGCACCTGCGCTTCAGGCCCGTACCATCCCACCCGGGGGCAGAGATCTCTTCCTGACGAGCGCGCGGATGCCGAGAGGGCTGCGTTTTTTTTCTTCTTCTTGTTCTTCTTCTTTCTTTCTTTTCTTTTTTCTCGATGTGGATGGCACACATCACCGGTTGGGATTGGCGTTTTTTTTTTTTTTTTTTGGGGGGGGGGTGCTTCTAATTTGTTTTTTTCTTTGTTTTCTTCTAATATCCATGGGGCCATAGGCTTGGGGTGCTATCTGAATCCACAACTGGCGCGGGACTGATTGTCCAGTGTCATGAGTCTGACTTGCGGTCGATGTCAAGAGCGCACGTAGCAAAGCGTGGAAAATTCCCTGCAGCGGTTTAAGACCTATCGAATCGAAGGAGCACCACTCTGCCAAGGATCTGTCAGACGTTTGGATTGAGTCGCGTCTTTGGCCGATTCCTCCTGGCAACATCTTTGCACCTTGCGAAGCAGCGCGCGTTTTTTTCAGTTTTGGTTTGCTTTGCGCAGCGCGTTCCATTTTTTTGAGCTCTTAAACCCAGTGCTTCATTTTCCCAAGCGGGGAAGCCCGGGGTTTATGCCCGCCCTTCGAGGTACTGATGTAGATCTTGCAGATCTCCTGCAGCACGTCCTGGCCGAGAATCCCATTGCCAGGCCGGGGTAAAAGCGGTGTGGGGTTCTCTGAAACACGTTGTGGGTACCAGGCAGCGTTTTGAAAATCGGGGGCCCTCAAATGCTGGTCCGTCCCAATCCGCATGAGCCCCATGTGCGACTGTTGTTGGCGTCGTGGGGATCTTTTGTTGATTCGTGCTTTGTTTTTGCAGTGTCGCGGAGGTTCTCCCAGGACTGATCTCCCTCTCGGAGAGCACGCCAGACTTGGCTTCGCACAGTCCCCGTGTCTTCATGACTCAGTGAGCGAATCAGAGTTGACCTCCCCCGGTAACGTCTGATGAGCCACGCTGGTGCCCCGAAGCTTGATGCTTGCGCTGGAAACCGTCTGATCTCAACTGCCAGCCAATCTGCCTCTAACAGTATAGTGCCCTTCTTTCAACAATCCAGTTGACCCCTGTGGAAGGCAAGAGAGTTCTCTTGCAAAAGCCGGCAGCTGTGTGCACTTCCATGTTGGAAAGAGGGATTGTCCCTGGGCATGGTGGGAAGCAAAGGTTCCAGTATTTGGTTGCGCACACATGGAATGCCAGGGCTGAGTTATAGTTCCACCACGGGGTCAGCTTTGGTTTCTTTTGGCAACGAATGAGGGTAGTTTTAAAAGGAAACCCAAGAGGGACAACCACCATTTTGGAGGGTCCCCAAAAAAGACGCACGCAAATCACCTAAAAAACCTGGATAGCACTTATTCCATTTCACATTTCCCGCTTTTGCACCAACTAAAACCTGAGAGTGTGCCAGGCCATCTGCAGCCAGCGTTTGTAGCCACAGAGCGGTGACCTCAGGTGGCTTGAGTATGTGCCGTCAAGAGGCACCTTACTTGTGGTTAAGGATGGTCTTCAACTTGGTAAGAGTCCTTAGTATCCACGACAAGGTGTCCAAAGGAACCAAGAGTAAAGGCAATTCACTTCATGGTTTGTTGTTCGAATCAGTTCTTTCTCTCCAAGTTCAAGCATGTCTCACATCGCACCCCCAAACTGACAAAGCAACAACATTCAGTATTCATGCACATGTGCTGTGTTGACATGGTTTCCATTAAAGACCTAATCCATAGTATTTTCTTACGTTTCATGCTTTAGTGCATCTCATGAACAGGTTGTGAACATTCCGAAATACGACACTCAGTAATCCCAAGCCAGATGAGCAATGATAGCAACAAAACCGTTCCCATTTGACAATACTCTCGATGAATCTAATGAGTGTCAGCTCAATGGGTCAAGTGGCATGGCACCGCTGGGTGTGAGTTTTAGTGGCTCACCCCTTGGTGGAGATCATTTACGTGGGGGCTCATGTCCCCCAACCACTGGAATCAGAACCCGACTCTTGAACTGGGCGAAATCTGATTTCAGCAAGGGTTTTCCAGGGCTCCTTGAAAGATCTCCCTTTTGCAACCATTTGAAACATGTTGCTTTTTCAACACCAAGATAGAGGGAAACCACCATTGACAAGTTGCAATGTTCAGGTGTATAATGCATCCGGATCCCTGTTTTCTACCATGCACCCTGCTCACTGCCATCTTTGGTCGCTTTGGTTTTGGCCCCGCGGACTTGGGAAAGCTTTCACCGCGCCAAGCCGCTTGAGCACTGGCTGAATCCTTTTGCTCATCCGGAGTTGATGGAAGCCGTTCAGGCTCTTTGCTACGGTGCCTTCAAGATGCCCTTTCAGGTTCCGCCACTGGTTGGTCCATGATGCGGCAACATCCACAAAAGGGCCAACTGGCAGCTGTTGAATCGTTTTGCGGGGCTTCCTCCATCCCAACAGGTGCTGATTCCATGAGCCCCCCCGACTGATAGAGGGGTCATGTTCGGGATCTATCGGGCATTGAACATTTGACTAAGTTGATTTCCCGAGAACCCCTGCGATTATGCCCACAAAACGATGGACCTCCCCCCCCCAAAGCCCAAGATGGCTCGGCTCAACAGGGCCCAGCCAAAGCCAACCACACGTTTTATCCCCACAAAGACCTTCCGGTGTTCTTTTGGGTTTCCCCGCAAAAACCTCTTGTTCTGTGTTTGATTTGCGTCCCTTGGAACAGCAAAGCGGGCAGCGCAGCCGCAAAAAACAGCTCCAAAACACTTTTTCTCCCCACCAAGACCTTCAACCTTCCGGTTTTCCTCTTGGTTTCCCCGCGAAACCTCAATGAAAGAGGTGCCAGCTCCCCAAAGAACGGGGCGGTGGGGCGAACATTTTTATGGCGAGGCGCATGGATTTTGGCGAGGCCTTGGATCCCTCGGGCTTCCTGCGGCGTAGGGGGCTGCTGACAGGCCGGGGCTTTTTTCCGGGGTTTTCCGGGTGGTGCGACCGGCCCTCTGGCCTTTTTTTATTTTTGGGAGGGGGGGGGGGGTTGTTGGGTTTGCGGCCGGGCCTCTTTTTTTTGTGGGGGGGTTGGGTGTGTGACGTTTTCTGTTTTTCTTTGGGGGGTGGGGTTTGTTTCTGCTTGGGGATTTGAGAGAAACCTAGTCGTCAGGTTGAACATCTGGTTTGAGATTAATTCTATTCATTCACTAATCTACACAGAGTTGTAGGGGCAACACAAAAATTAGGGGGTGAGACATGGCACACTTATCGGAGACCAGAGGTCCGTATTTGAAGGGCATTAATGTACAACGCACAGCCCCCCTCAAAAGGGGCGTTCGGTAAAACTTGAGGGTACCGCGTGTTTGTTCTTCTTGTTTTTGTGCAGCACGAGCGCAGCAGCACTTCATGGAGTGTGTGTTTTACGAGGGTACCCTTTTCATGTTGACTTGAAAGAAAGCCAGAAGCAAGACCACCATCCAAGTTTGACACATAGCCATATTATAAGCTTTGCCAACGTTGACACTGACCGCCGCATATTTTGTTGCTACCTGCTGGATTCTAAAGGGAAGGGGTGTGCATCATGCAGAGAAACAGCAATGCTATGGAGGTGTGGGATGAAGTGATCCGCTCAGTAAATGGTTTGGATCAGTACATATTCTCTGGCAAGAAGAATTCAATGAGAAATTGGCACAACAGATAGACGAATAAAGAATATTTCGAATAATTAATGGTTGGATTGGTACAACAAACAATAGAATGAGGACTACACCAGGGGGTCGTGTGATTTTTTTTCCAGCAAGCGGGTCTCACTCTTTGGCAGTGAACAGGTAAGCACCGTGAGCCATTTTGATTGAATCAACATTTCAAGCCCGTTGCTTCAGTTTACTTCAGTACCACCTTGCTTCGGAGTTTCTGATTTGCCGCACATCCTGACCGTTTCCTTCCCGTGCCCTTCGCAGGCGTTCCCAGGGTTCCGACAAAACGGGCTTGCAGCTTGCGCCCAAAAGGGACCCATGTGTTCTCCGCACCCGATGTCGGGTTGGACCCATGTCTTCGAACCCATGTGGCTGTGGTTGTTAAAACCAATGGTACCATGTTGGTTGGTAGGTGAATTCACCACCCATTTTAGAACCTATTTTAGAGGTTGGATTGGGATGTTCACTGGGGGCTAACCGATTTGGATTTCGGCCCATGGCCATGTCTTCGAGCCGGGGCCGGCTTGAGGCCAGAAGCGCAGCCCATCCCAAGCCTTCCTGGACGCGGCGGAGGCGCTGCGGGAGGAGTACCGCGGCCGGCGCGCGGAAGCCCAGAGGGGGAGAGGGGGCGGAAGCTGATGGGGTGAGCAGCTGGTGATGCGAAGCCGCGCTCTCATTCCTTTGCGCGCACGTGCCTCAGGAGCTTATTGGGAATATACTTTTCAAGATGGTGCAAGAATGCTGGAACATTTTCCCTTCAGCTGGACCATTTCACTCGACCTTTTCGGCAGGACGTGTCCAGGGCACAGCTGTCGCCGAGGCATGGAGGATCCTCTGATGTTCTCGCGGGAGGCAGTCTTTGACGCCATCGCCAGCTCGAAGGCGTGGGCTTCGTGCGGCCTCGTGGCGGGAGCTCCCCGGTCTCTCAAAAAAATCCAAGGATGTGAGTCTGATCGAAGCAAAAGGAAGGCATTTTTGGGGGGTCGTTTTCTGAGTTTCCAGATTTTCTGAGCCTGACTTGTTTCCGGATGTCCATGCAGTGCTTCCCATTGGTAAGTGAATACCTTCCAAGATGTTTTATGCCTACCTAGAGTCTCCACGACCCTTCAAACATGGGTCCGTGACCCCATTATTTTGGGTAATGAACCCCATTTTCACGGGTATTTTGGGTAGTGACCCTTTTTTTTGGGTAATGCCCCCCATGTTTTAGACTCCAGGTAGATGCTGGTTGTGTGCTGAGTTTTTCACTCGCAGGTGGGCGAGTGGCGAGAAGACGCGTTGCTTGGAGAGCGGGACACCTGGATCGAAGAGAGACATCGAGAGGCCGTGTCCTGCGGCAAAGGCTCGAGGTTTGGTGGCGATCGCAACAAACACTCCCTCAAGAATCCTGATTTGGCTGTGGTTGTCAAACCAATGGGATCCTATTTTGGGGTAGGTGAATTCACCACCCATTTTAGAACCTATTTTAGTGGGGATTGGGATGTTCACTGGGGGTACGATTTGGATTTTGACCCATGGCCATTTGTTTATTCGGGATCTTTTTGGGACACCTTTTGCGGGTTCCTTCAGTTCATTTGCAGGAGTCGGAAGGGAGGGCATGAAAACCACCGAGGTGGAGGGTCATGCTGAACGAGGAGAGTGGTGTGGACGGGGGTGGACTGCGGCGAGAGGCTGGGAGCGAGTCGAGAAACGGATCGATGTTAACCCCACAAAACCCATGAAGGCCTTTGAAACGCGCGCTGGTTCATATTTGAACCCATGTTGCCATGTTGGATGCCAAATGGGCCGATTTCCAACAATTAAGCCGCAACTAACGGCTAATCAACCCATAAACTAGGAGTCCATACCAGGGGTTCATATATGGGCATCTTTGAGCTTGAGGCACGTTGCACGATTCTGCTCCTCCCGCTTTGCAGAGCTGGAGTCGAGTGACCAAACTCCCGCACTACCTTTTTGCTCCTCTCATTGATGCGTTTAATGCTAGGAGTCAGACGACAGCCAAGCCCAGCTCTTGAGCCCAGTCAGATGGGTCTACTTCGCCCATCCAAGATCCTGAGGGTCCTTTGTCGCAACAAGGTCACCGCAGCTATGATGAATTTGGCTCCTCCAGCAGAGGAACATCCCTTTCAGAGGCTTCTTCAGCTGCTCACGGAAAGCTTCGACACTGCTCGGAAGCCGGAATGGCTGAGAGGGAGGGAGACTGAAGCGGCAGCTCAAGCGGCAACGGTTGAAATGCTTGAAGCAACAACCTCCCTCCGCAGTTTCCGACATTGCAAGAATAGGGACCACCTAAATCGCTGAAGTGCCTACGGCACTACGCAAACAGCAACCTGATTTCTAGGCATGGAGGCGTGACATAATTTTCCACGCACGAACAAGGTGACGTTGTGCTGCAGGCTTTCTGGCCTTTACTCTTTAAACAAATGTAGAACTTATTTAAGGAGCTTGGGTTGATTTGGGTCTGTGTCAAGATATAGGGGACCCGGAGAAAAAAACAACAAACAAAACAAAAACGGCAGTTGTCCTTTAGTTTTCATGAAAGCTAAGATTCATGATCACAGGAAACAAGCACGCGCACGGGCACCCACCCATTTGGTGAGGTGGTCAGCCTCTTTTTCGAGCAGCTGGAAAGTAGCAGCTGGGCCCTCACAATGGTGAGAATTGGCGACAGTCAGCAGGGTGGCCCGTAAAAGAAGGCCCAAAACTGTAGTTGGCCGTTTTCGTCGGGGGTTCTCCGACCTGGACACCAAACAACTGAGGCTTGGTGATGCGGACCGGCATGGAGGGGAGTGGTGTGACGACTCTCTTCCTCAACGAGAGGCGTCGCGGTCTCAGCGCTCCCAGCACGCCTTGAGCCGCGCGGCACGTCGTGTCGCCTTGCCTCGGGCCTCGCTTCGCGCGCGCTGTTTCCGTCGCTCGTCTCTCGCCGAGAACGGGCGGATCGGAGTCCTCAGCAGTGGAGGCAGTCCTGGACCGCTGCCGGGAGCCCAGGCAATCCCGAAACCCCGAAGCTCCTAAACCCCAGAAAGAAGAATCGCAGCGCCAAAGGATGGAAAGGTTCCGCCTGGGCAAAAAGAAGGTTCTTCTGCAATGAGGGCTAGTAGCAATCCTGGAAGTGGACAGGGCGGTTCTCAAGAGGAACATAGTCTTCCAAACTCCCAGATTGTTGGAGGGCTAGATGGGCATGGGTCAAAATCAAACCACCAGGAATTGGACCGCCGATTTGAGTCCTTGTTTCCATTTGCCAGGGCAACCCATTTCACGGTTGTTGTTGGGAAACATTTACAATTTTTGCTTATTGCGGTTTAGTGGTTGAAATCCAAATCCACTTAACTGCTAAGATTTGTTTGAATTGTTGCTCCCCAAACCCAACCTCAACCAAGATTTGGGGTAACTCTTGACCCACATCCAGATGTTCCCCCGGTCAAATCAGGACGATCGGTTGCCCGAGTCTCCGAAGCGGAGAAAAAGTTCCAAGGTGGGTGCGATGCTGTTGCGAGCCTTGGTCCACTTCGGCAACGCGCCCCTGGCTTTCAGCCTCGATCCCAGGTTGCTCATGGGGAGGGAAAAAAAAACATGGCCAAACCGGCCTTTTCACTGGTATTCACTTAACACCCACTTGCACCAGCTGTTTTTTTTCTTCTTCTTCTTCTTCTTTGTTTTTTTTCTCGCAAGATTTAGAGCAGGCTGTCAGCTTGTGCTTGATTCCGTGCCCTCGAGAGGCAGCGCTGTTTTCGACTGTGCATTGGGGAGGCGGGCTTGACCGGGCGCGTTTCACTGTTTTGGGAATCTATCGGGGGACTGAAGCATGAGTGTCCTTTTTTGGTTGATTTGGTCAAATATCTATGTTCCAAAACGGACACCTATGGACCCCTTTGAAAAGAAACTGATTGTACGGAGATTTTCGATTCGGGGCCCAACAAGCGTTCACGGGCTGCTTAGTTTGGGATACGTGAATGCATGTAGTTGATACCTTGCTCCGATGGACAATCAGACATTAATTCGCAGACACTCACATGTCCTTTGCAAGCATGATAAAATAGGGGACCACCTCAAAAGTGGTTGAAGATGAACATGACTCCCCACCTACATGGGTGTCCACCACAGGGTCAATTCAATTCCATACCCACGTTAGTACACATGAATCATCATTCTTCTTTGTTTGACCCTTTGAAAGGATTTTTCCTTCACTCCACAAGGATGTCATGTCGTTTTTCAGACATGAGACATGGCCTACAGCCAGGATGGTCAAAACAATCCAGTCGACGGCCATTTGGGAGGGCCATGTGGGCACGCTAATTTGTCCATGTCCTTTCGGGGAAAGCAGGCATTTGAGCCGTGGCTCACACGAAGCAGAAGCGGGTGCTGCCAGGATATGCCGTATGCCACCAGACGATGCTCCGGCAGGCAGTCATTCCCGTGGCTTGCGCGTTTCTTCTTGTGGCCTCGCAATAGCAGTATGCCAGACTTCGCGTGGCAAGCAAGGATGAATTTCTGAAATGTCCCACTGGCGTGTTCACACATAGGGGGCATAGGTGTCCTTTTTGGTTGTTTTGGTAGAAAAATAGATGGCGATTCCTGGTTTCCCTGGTGGTTTTTTCTCATCTACCAGGGAAACCCATCTATTTGCCTTAAAAAGGACGTATTCAAAAGGTAAGGGGCCCGTATTCACTTTTCCTGGCATGCGTTTTTGCAGGTGAGGAGGAGGACGTTCAGGGAAGCATCGAGCGCCAAAAGCTCAGTGCCTCAAAGAGTTGGCGATACTCATCTGGCATCCGTAGCCAAACTGGGGCCTTTGTTTCCATGTGGGTATGGCTCAAAAGAAACGGCACCAAAATGGAACCCTGGTAGGTGGAAACATGGACCAACACCTGCGGTTTGCCCCTCCTGTTTAATTTTGAGCCACAGCCAACTGCTGTTCAAAGGTAATCCGCAAGATCCTTACCTGGGGTTACGCAAGGAACCGGTCCCCTTTGTGGCTTTCCTGGGATAATGGAAAATCGGATTGGCTTTCCAACCCTTCATTTTGAACAGCCCAGTCTTGCATCCCACTGGGGCCTTTGTTTCCATGTCAACTCTTCCTGCGCTCAAAAACGGTGGATGCATGGGCAAGGCCAAGGGCAGACCTTGTTTCATCTTGGTTTCTTTCCCTTGGTTTCCTTTGGAAACCCTTCAGTTGCCCTTTGTTTCCCCAGGTTTGCCTGGGTTGCCCTTATTTTCCTTTGGTTTCTTCACGGTGTCCTTTGGTTGTCTTTGCAGCGTTTGGTGTTCAGAAGTTGGGGGCTCCAGCTGGGATGGTTTGAAGGGAAAGCAGACCATCCAGTGTTCCACGGGTGCGGCTTTTGAAAAACAAACAATTCAGTGCACAAAGCACGCAAAGCGTGCGGCATTTGTCGTTTGGGATTATGGTACGAGCCCTTTACGATTGTCGGTGTTCTTGTAGGGAACGTTCCGGAGGTTCGTTCCAGCTCCCTCCCATCCCCAAACCAGCGTTTGACTCCCCCCAGGTCCGCCCCACCCTGGCCTGATTCGTTGCTTCGCTCTTCTCTTTGCTCTTCTCGTAGCTCTTTTGGCTGTTTTCACCCCACTTCACTCCACTTTTCGCACCGCTCTTCTCTCGGAGTCTGCTTTCTCTCTGCTCTTCCTGTTTTGGCGGGTTCCCTCTTGGATTCCCTTCAACACCAACCTAAAGAAAAGCCAACAACAAAAAGACGAGCCACCCATGGGAATACACAGGTCTTCTGAAGCTACGCGAGGAGAAGGGAGATGCAGCTGCCCCGGGTGTCGTCTCGCGATGGGTTGGGTTCCTTTTGGCTTCCCTTCAACGCCACCCTTGCTTTTGGTCTTGTTCCGCAACAAGCCTTTCTTATGATGGATGCAGCAATATATATATATATATATACACACATGTAATACACATATTTCCTGTCTTTCTGTATGCGTAATACACAAAAACTACAGATATATATATATATACAAATATATATATATATATATATATGTACAAATATATATATATATATATATATATTATATATATATATATACACTTGAAGGCCTCCGGCTCAGACGGCCGCGCTGCTTTCCTTTCTTTATGTGTCGCACAGTGCGCAGGAGAAGCTCAACTTGGGAAGGGGGCCTTTGTCAAAGACTTCGTTGGTGTATGTCGCCATTTCCGCAAGACGGCAGTGAGCAGACAGGTCGTCGGAAGGAAGGAAGTGGATGGGAGTGCTAGCGATGGCCATCGCTGCTTTGTCCTGATGCTTTTTGACCTGAGGGAGTCTTTGGCTTGCCGCTGTTTGTTCATCTGGCTTTCAATTTCCCTTGCGGGCAGTTTGGTTTGCAACTTCCGTGATTTTTTGGAATGGCCACCAGAAGCGATGGATGCGGGGGTGCTACTAAGGCAAGGAATTCCTCTCTTGCTAATGCTTCTTGTTTAAACTCCTTCGGAAAGGGTCCACAGAACTTGAGCTTTGGTCTGCTTCCGCGTGTTCAAGTTCTCTCCCGCAGTTGGCGGGTTGTGCTGTTGTTTGTTTGTAACTTCTGCGCCTGTTTTGGACAGGTCCCCAGAAATGATGGATGGGGGTGCTACGGATGCAATCATCAAGCTTTGTCCTGCTGATGCTTCTTGTCAGCAGGACTTGGGTAAGGGCCTTGTTGTATTCATGTTGTTTTCTCTAATTGGTGATGCTGGGGATGCAACAGCGATGATCCTGTTTGCGCCGGAAATGTAGAAGGTCTCCGCAGGACTTGTGAGGGGACCTTTGGTTCGCCTTTGTTCATTTTCCTATCCCTAGCTGCAGATGCCTGCAGGTTGTTGGTTTGCAATTTCCTGGGTCTGGGATAGGTCCCCGCAAGACGCGGGTAGGGGCCTTTCGTTTGACCCTGTTGCTTTTTTTTTCTTCCTTTTTTTCTCCGGGGACGTCAATCTGGTGATGCTGGTGATGTTGGTGATGCTGAGCTGGTGGTGCTGAGGTGGTGAAGATGTTGGACAATGGTCCCAGAATTGAACAGGCTTAAAAAGGATCCAGTCTACGGAAAGCTTGATTCGTCATTTTGAGGGGAACACTGTCTGGTTGCTGCTGGCAAACCAAAAAGAAACCAGTCCCGCAATTTTCAGACGCATGTTCGTAGGAATGGCAACCGCCAGACAGGACAGTCCTTGTGAACTCGCGCCCGGCATTCCACCTGTTTGCGCATTGTTTGCTCACCTCCCCGATTGGCACTTTGGTCTGGCTCAACGACCCCAAAGATTTTGTTATCCGCCTGTGCAACGGACGGCGTGTTGGGCACAAGGACAGCTCCTTCCCTCTTACCCCGCCCCGGAACTATGACTCCAGACTTCACCGGGGGGGAAGGGGGGGTGCTGGTTTCAGGCAACGATTGTTCGTCAGCCCCTGGCGGGGAGGGTGCTGGTTTCAAACCAAGATTGCTGGTCAGCCCCTGGCGCTGTTCCTCAAACTCGCAAACGAGGGCCAAACTTGTCAAAGGAGGCGTTTTGCTCACGCGGCTCAGGACTGGGCGCGCAGCGAGCTTCTGGACTTGCTTCGCCGTTTGCGACGTGAGCCCGGCGCGTGTTGGCGAGTGGTTCTTGAACACTCCTCTTTGAGGCTCCGGGTGCTCTGTTTGGGGTGGAAAATGGCGGCCGCCCTTTTTTGGGGGTTGCTTTCAATGGAAGCCAGAGGCCACTCTTAGTTTTGAGGGTTTCTCTATGACACAAATTCATTTCTCGGGCTCTTGATCGCCATCGCGGGAGCAGGCAAAGCAGACTGCTCAGGTGCCGATCCCCAGCGTAGAGCTTAGACACGCAGAATTGCTGCAAGTCCAGCAGATTTGGCTGGTGCACGAGCAACAGCTAGCTCCAGGAAAGAGGCTGGCTACCGATGGATGCTGGCACAACGGACTCAGGACGCGCTCTTCTCTTCTTCCTTTTTTTGCGCCTTGCACCTGGTTGTCGCCCAAACGAACCCTGTGTTTTTAGACCTAGTTCGAGATTGCTGTGGTCCAGGCATGACGCCGGTAATTATTCGATCAGGTGTCAACTCTTTGAATCAACTTGAAGCAGTTGAACAGGATGTGTGCTTCGCTCAGCGCATGCTAGGAGGAGCGCAATGGTCTCTCGGTTCCGAGCTGAGAATGTTGACCAGGCCAGAAGTTGCCATTTGTTGCCACATTTCCAGGGCTTTTCACGCATCATGTTGGGTCCCAGTGGTTTCCCTTTAAACCATCTAGCTCATTTTGAGCATGTCACAATGGACCCACCAAAGGACAATCACGTGTGTATGTAGCATTTGCCGGAACCCATTTGGTAGAACTCGTTAGAACTTATTTCAGGCATGAACTTGATTTGGGTGGACCCTTCGCTGAACATCGTTTGGGGAGTTTTTTAGGGCACGCCTTTTTCAGCGGCGGTCGTTTCTCTCCCTCGCCGCCACGTAGTGACAAGCACGGCGGTCGGCGTCGTCGGCGTCCAGCGTCGAGCCGTTCCACGCAAACCCTCCTAACCCCGAACCTGAATTCTCCTTGCCATGAAACCCTAACCGTAACCCCGAAATGCAGTCCTGGGCCATGGGTTCAACCACGAAACGAGCTCCACGAACGCTCCGAGGTCAATGGCTTGGAGAGCCGCGAGACTATCGCGGCCATGCTGGAGCCGCAGAGCTCGCTGTTTCTGCAGCGCCTGGGGCCGGAGCTGCAGGGGGCGGCGCTGGAGTGGGTCTTGCTGCGGCTCGGATGGAGGGCTGGGAGCGGTTTGGGGGCGGGGCAGGCGCCCAACATGTGCTTTGGGGCCCGGGGGTTTCGGGAAATCGAGCCTTGTCCTTGTGTGTCGGGAAGGAAACCCAACCAATCCAAGCCACTGGAGGCTGAATTGGGATGGAATCGTGGCCTTTGAGACGATTTTGGTAGTGTCGGCTTGGTTTAGATGGAAAGTGAAAAAGCCGCGCTTTTGCGGGGGTTTAGTGGGAGGTCAATCCCACGTTGCTTTGTTTTTTGTTGGTTTTTCTTCGGGGGCGGGTGAACCTCGCTTGGGTTCCGAAGGGAGTCCCAAAAGAACATTCAAAAAGGAACCACCCCCCCCACAAAAAAAAAAAACAAGAGCAGAAAAACCACCGCAACAAGGTCCGCGCCGTTTTTTCTCTGGCCCGAGCCGTTTTTTCCATGAGGTGGGATCTGTACCTCAAGTTCCTGGGCGGCGGGGACCGGTGGCTGGCCTACGACGCGCTGGCAGAGGGCTTCTCCGCCCACGGCCGGCGCCTGGAGATGTGGCAGGCGCTGACGGGTGTGCAGGTGGTGGAGACGCTGGAGGGCGTGGAGCTCACGGCCGCGGTGGTGCTGCCCAACCTGGCGGCTTCCCTGAAAAAAAGATCCGGGGAAGAGGAATATTTTTTTTTCCGAGAGAGGGGGGGGAAGACCCTGAAGACCTGGCAAAAAAAGCAAAACAAATATGTTTCTGAGAAAAAGCGGAGAGAGAGAGAGGGTTTTGGAAGACGAAACACGATTCCTTTCGAGAAAAGTAGAGAGAGAGAGAGAGCGAGGGTTTGGGAAGTCGAAGAGCTCTTTACCCTCTCTAGAATGAAACCTAGAGAGGGTTTTAGAAGAGGTGTTGCACCTCTTGAACAGCCTTGATGGTGGCAAACTAGACAGAGTTCGGAGACACTTCTGACATATCGCGCTCGCCAAGGAGTTCAAGCCTGGCTATGGCTATGAGACTCAGATCCAATACTTCCGGAACGTGATCGAGACCTTCTCAGCGGAGGAGCAAAACATTTTTTATTATTATTTTTTAAAATGATTTTTTTTTTTCTGACACCAAGGGAAAGCCACCTGTAAGCCGAGATCCTCCGATTTTTAAGCTCCACAAGGGTCACCGACATGTCTGAAAAAAGGGGACCCTCCTAAAAGGACCCTCCTGGAAATGTGGCTTTCCCTTTGGCCTCCCTTCCCCCCAAACCAAAACACATAATAGTGTTTTAAGCCCTCTTGCTTCCCTCCCTCACAAAAAGACAACAACAACCACATTTTCCCATTGTTTTCCCTCCTTGTGCTCGGCACATGCTTCCCCCCAATAAAGAAGAAGAAAAAGTGGTTTCCCCTTTGGCTCCCCCCCCCCCACACAAAAAGAAAAAAGCAAAAAGAGAGAAACAACAACAATCAGTGAAAAATAATAGTAAACACAAAGACATCATAAATCAATAAAATATAGAATACGCATAAAATGAAAAATAAACTCTAAAACAAAACAACATTCATGCTGATCCTTTGGCTGCTCGTGCTTGCGGAAGCCCCGCCCAGAAACATCCCCGAGGAGTTGTCCATGTTCCTGCGCTTCTCCACGGGCATCGGGCGCCTGCCCGCCTCCCAGCGCTTCCCGGCTGGCCAGAAGCTCTCCATCCGCTTCATGCCGGACCACCTGGAGCACCTGCCCTCCGCGCACACCTGCTTCTGGGTGGTGGACGTGCCCCCCTACGAGGCGCCTTTAAAAAAGAGAGGGAGGGGTGGAGGATGGAGCTTTTTCTCTTGTTTTGGGGTAGATTCTATTTCGGCCCTTTTCATCAGAGGACCCTGCAGTGCCACGAATGGTTCCTCTCGCCTTCAAATGTGCCCGTGACAGCATTTCTTTTTGGCCATGACCCCATCTTTGTTGGGTCATGCCCCATTTTCTTGGGTCATGCCCCCATTTTTCCAGGGTCACGGAGACTCCCAAGGGTCCCCCGCGAGGACCAGGAGGACTTGGCGCAGAAGCTGCGCCTCGCCATCGCGGCGCCGCAGCCCTTCGCGCTGAGCTGAAGGGCAGCGAGAGGAGCGCGCCCGGGAAAAAAACGCTGGGGAGCCGAAAGCTCCTTTTTTTTCTTCTTCTTTTTGTTCTTCTTTTTTTCTCCTTTTTTGCGGGGTTGGATGAAATCCACAAGACAGGGGAGTTTTGTGAGGGGCCTCGTTCTTTGTAAGTCGAACAAGCATGGTTTTGAGAAGATGTTTAAGCAACAGAGCCGCGCATTGGTTCTTTTGCAGTTTTTTGATGAAAGAAAAAGAAGCCTTTGGTACAAACCAGAGGCTGCGCTTCCTGCAGTGGAAGAGGTGGATTGCCCTTCCTCGGCTTGGCCGGGCGCTGCGCCGCGATGTTTCTTCGCTGGCGCGCGTGCGGCTGTCTTCGGTCTGCGAACCCGGGGCCCCTGATTTAAGATCTCAGAAGGGCGAGCTCTGAGCACTGGACAAAGCTGCCAGTTGGACAATGCTCGATGGTGCTGGAAATTAGACCCGTTGCAGAACTGCAAGCATGGCTCAGTCGGATGCATTTGCTTGATGCTTGCACGTGCCGGACTCGTGTTTGTTGTGTTCATTGCGTGGCCCACAGATGTGACACGCCGAGAGAGCTTGCGATCCTCATTGCTCACGAGGTGACACTGACACAAGTTTGTTTCTCCAAGTATTGAGGGCAACCCCAAGAGTTTCACGGGGAAGCCAAACGACACCCGCCACTTCTAGGGTCGTATTTTGTGACACCGCAAGACTGACACTGCAATCCGGCAGCCTGCCTCATTGGCCACAGCGTGCCGACTCCTTCCCAGGTGCAAACAGTTCCACTCCGCAGTTGATCAACCACCACTCCTTCCCTTTTTCGCGAGCAAAAGGCCACTCCCCAAGGTTTGATCCCTGAGTTGCTCCACTCCACCACCACACTCCTTCACAGAACCGCTCACAGGGCCCACCGCTCCCCAAAAGAGCAACACGCCCGACACCGGAGGGACCGCGTACGGACGGATTTCCCCCCAAGAACGCCGCGGCCGTCTTTTCTTCGGCATGCTGGAGCTGGGAGAGCCGGAGACGGCGGAAGGCGACAAAGGCGCCGGCGCCGGCGCAGGCGAGGCTTAAATGCTGTGTGAGGACAGCTGGGTGCAACTTGAGCCGAGGGACTGGAGGTGTTGGTTGTTTCCATGTACCAGCAAATCCATTTTTTTGGGCTGCCCCCACTTTTTCACCCGCAGCCAATCCTTGGGGATGGGGGCTTCAGAGCATCTCCTGCTCAGGTGCCGAAGATCCGGAAGAAGCGCCGGAGCCAAACGCTGCGGCGAGTGACGGCGCGGCTTACCCGGCCGCGCCCGCGCCCGCGCCCGCGCCGGTGCCAGCGCCGCCAGCAGCCGCGTTGGGTGCCGAAGCTCCGGGCGAAGCGGCTGAGGCGCCCAAAGAGGCGAGACCGGTGGATGGGACGAGGACATTCGCTTGGTTGGGCATGGTTTGCGCTGGCAATTGGATTCCCATTGGCCATAGCTGCTGTTTGTAAAAGGGTAAGGCCTAGGTAAAATGCCTTGGGTTCGCCATTTTACTAGCTGGTGGGTGGAAAGGAGCCGGAGGGGAGCTGGGGGTCTCCAGCTTTTTTGCTCAAGATGGAACCTTCCGGAGCTGCCGATTGGAGTTCTGGTTAGGGACATGGTAGCTTGGGCGTGGCTTGCCCACCCGCCCGCCCACCCCGCCCGCGCGGCTGGGTTCCATGTTGGAGGAAAATGTGTTTTGGTGTTGGATCCGGAGTTCACAGCGACATGTCCTTTTGCCGCCGGTGAGAAGAGACGACCAGCACTGAACCGTGCTTTTTTGTGCCAGGTGCCGGAAGCTCCCCATGACTCTCTGACATTCAAGGAGTGCCATGACTCGATCGCTTCGTTTGCAACCAAGCGCAACACCTCTTCTCCTGCCCACAAAAAGTGGTGGGAGCCCGTCAGCAAAAACCTGCCATGGTCAGCACACCCTTCCAGTTTGGTAGAGACGATCAGCAACCTTTGAACAATGACAAATATTCCTGTGAAAGGAGCTATGACCACCGACCATCGGCGGAGTTTTCACCGTGGCACATTGGTTGGGACTGTAACCTTCCAACAAATGGTTTCAACGATGGTTTCAAAGTGGTGCGAAATGGGCTTTGTCCACCCCAAAGTAGGATATGGGGACCCCATGGCCGCCCCCCCTCTCCCCCCCCCAAACTCCCCCCCCCCAAACTCCCCCCCCCCCCCCAACCCCCCCCCTCCCCCCCAACCCCCCCTCCCCCCCAACCCCCCTCCCCCCAACCCCCCCCAACCCCCCCCAAATTCTTGCCCCCCCCAACCCCCCCTCCCGCTGTCTTGAGGGCTCGGTGACCTGCGGCGCTGAGGAGCAGATGTGGGACTGCTTCGAGCTCCTCTGGGCGCAGCGTTTAGGGCCTTCCAGGAAGATGCTCGAGGCGAGCGAAGGCTTAAGCCGGTTCTCGCACGCGGGGAACGCCGATTTTGTTTTTTTTTTGCGGTTTCCAAGGGGCAAGCAGGTGGTTTCTCAAAATGGTGGAAGACCCCTCCCAAGAAGAAGAAGAAGAAGAAGAAGAGGAGGAGGAGGAGGAAGAACAAGAGACGTGGTGTCTCAAAGATGGTGGAGGCCCCCGCTCGACAAAAAGAGGAAATGAACAGAAGAAGGACAAGGTTTGTTTTCCAATGGGTTTCTCTAAGCCATCCAACAAAAGGTCCATATTCAGAAGCCATCCATGCGGCCTCCACAGGGCACTGTGCCAGTTGATTGTGAGTGGCGGGGGCTTTTTGCTTTTTTGAAGGGTTGGTGGCAGAAAGAAGTCGGCCCAACGAAAGAAACGCCCCCAAAAAAGCGAGGGTTTGATTCCCACGGAGTCTCCCTCTGGGTTCTATCTCCTGCTCCCCCAACCAATGCCAGGGCTTCATTTCGTGTATGCGAGAACGAGCTCAACTTGAACGGCAGTACGCCAGGCGCAACGCAGTGTTTCCGAGCCATTTCCCGCTTTGGAGGCTTCCAGTGGTTCTATCGATCGTGTCAGTAAATTGATCAACGTTTGAGTTGGGGAAATCCAGTGACCCCTGTGTTGCAATAGAAGTGGAGCCATCCTATTTGAGCATTCCCAATTGTTTCCCACCATACTCCGCAGCTTAACATGGCAACTGAAAAACCCCAATTGTTTCCCACTACGTATACTCCGCAGCTTAACACGGCGCCTGCAAAAGAACGTCCTTTGCAGAAGAAGCTTCTGTTCGGCTTTTTGGGGATCCAAACTCTTGTTGGGGTTTCTTCCCTCGATTTCCAGTTGAGCCACAATCGAAACCCGGGTAGATGAAGGTTAGTAAGGGACAGTCCCAGCCAGAATCAGCTGCGGCCGCTTTTGTAGTTTCTTACATGGTTCTGGGTCAACCATTTTATTACCGGGTTTTGATTGTCAGTTGGTAATTTCCTCATTCCCGTGCTCGCGCAGGGGACTCCTGCAGAGCGCCGCAAAGCTCCAGCAGACCACCTCTGAGGGGGTGGGAGGCCCAAAGAACAACACCACGTCCAAGGTGGCAGCATAGGTGTCCTTTTCAGGTTAGCTTGGTCAAAAAATGAGAGGGCACTGGTTTAGATGGGTTTGATTCCATTTACCAGGGCCATCTATTTTTCCAAAAGGACACCTATGCACCTCCAAGGTGGCAGAAATTCTCAAACGCACCATCTACCCTCCCTACCAACATGGCGCCTGACAGGGCAAGAGGAAATTCATCTTCTAGGCACCCTCCCACAGGTGCCATGTTAGTGGGAGGAAGGGCAAATGGCATACTGGGTGTCACCATGGTGTGTGCCAATGACCAGGGAGCGCATATCAAACGATTTGCAGATCAGTGGAGCCCTGGCGGTATCTTGCACTGAGCAGCAGATAACCACATTGTCTGTCGATCGCAGCGCCCGAAACCGATTTGTGAAGGGCCATTTGGTAGGTGATTCGGTGGTATGACCATCCTGGTAGAAGCAAAAGTCAGTGGGTTTTGGCCGCTACTTCTTTATTTGTTTTATTAAATGCCATACTGTCGACCCCACATGAAAAAACCCTCTAGACTCTAGATAAACATAGGGGTGTTCTTCAAGAAGAGAAGGATCAGGTGTCAACGTGACTCTCTATACCAATCAGCGAATCAGCGCACAGGCTTTGAGGTCTCGCCAGGCCAAAGAACGACGGTTTCTGAAGCTTAGGGACCTTAGCAACTCATAGCAGTTGGTTTCCCTTTACCACAAGGCGGGGTTCGAGTCTCAATTGGTTGGCCACAGACCCCTGTAGACAGACATACTTTCCTCTACAGGAGCTTTGTGCACTTGGCAGTTTTGTTTTTCTTCGTTTTCTTTTCCGGGAAAGCGAAAAATCACACACCAAACGGTTTGGGGGGGTGCCGGCGCATGCCTCGACATTGTCCACATGCTCCGAGAACCCGAGGCGGTGCCGCTGCCGTTGGAAGCGGTGGTGACCAACCTGCGGCACCGGGCGGAGCAGCGGCTCCCTCAGGTTGCGACAAGTCAACGCACCTAACTTCCATTTGCTGAAATGTTTTTTTTTTTTTTTTTTTTTTTTTTTTTTTTTTTTTTTTTTTTTTTTTTTTTTTTTTTTTTTTTCGCCTGGTGGTTTCAAAGGGCAACGAATTCACTACTGGAAATATCTCCCAAGAATCTGGGTGAATCATAACGACCGAATTCACACCACCGAATTCACCCCAAAAGGTGATTTATGTGGGGAATGGCGCCCCGCATTTTGCCAAGGGATGTTAGGACTTTAACTCTTTGCTGACTAATGGGTTTTCCATTAAACCACTAAAAGGTAAACTTTCAGCAGGGGAGCAGAATGCAACCGAGATGTTTTCTCTGCAAATGCAAAGGAAACAGTTCAATAAGAAATCCATTTCGCACCACCGTTCAGAAACCCTGGTTTCTTATGATTTCCCTGTTTATACCAACAAAACTGGGTGTGCTTTTGAAGTGGCGCAGGATTTCGTCCATCCAAAGTATATGCCTAGCAGGTATGATACAAAAGAAGGGCCGTGAGCCCAAATGGTTGTGAGACCTATGACTGCAACAAGGTCAAAGTGTGTGTTTGTATATATATATATATATATGGAAAACCAAGGGCAAAAGCAGACACACGTTTCGTTCGACCTTCATCAACTTGTATACCGTAGCCTCTATGTTACACAAACAAAAGCCGGAGCCATTGCATTCAAGACTCATGAATGCTGCGTGAACTCGAGTCATGTTGGACTCGGATCTGTGATTGACACCCACTGCCGTCATGGCGACAAAGCACGTGAAGGACTTCGTGTTGGCAATGTGAAGGTGTTGACTCACTCACCGAAAAGATATCCATCCGCGTAGAAGTCCATGACGGAGACTTAGCGCAATGGACATAGTTTTGTAGACGATGAGGGCAAATGGAAACATCAAGGTGAGGCGATGGGTCAGTCGGTTGTATCGCAGTGCCTTCGGTTTTGACTGCTATGGCGTTCTGTTTCTCTTCTTGTCTACGGCTCAACAAAGAAGCCAAGCAGGTGTGATACACAGAAGGGCCATACGATTGCACGAAGGTCAAGTGTGTGGTGGGTTTCCTCCTCGTTTCCCATTAAAACCACCCCGAAATAGTTCAAACGAGTTAAGACTCACAGGCCGCATGAGGAACAGGGTCCCGCAAAGCAAAGGATGCACTTGGGGCACCGGCTGACTCGCAAGACTCCATGGTGAAGCAGGTGGTTTTTTAGCGGCAAAGGTGCTTAGGCTGCCAATGGACGTGTCTTAAAGCAGGGGGCCCTACAAATGGTGGTGTTCCCTGACTGTAAAACAACCCCAAAAAGATTACCCTCAAAAAGGACGGCCTCCCAAATGGCGGGGTCCAAAAACGGCGGTTGCCCGAGGTGTGCTGTGCTGGCGGAGGAGCTTGAGCAGGACGAGACGCTGGCAAGCCATTTATTCGCCCATTCTCCCTGAGGCTTAGCCCACCTATGGTTGATTAGGGGAGGACTTGGGCCAGCCGTTTTCTTCTTGGACCTTCTCTTTTGCAGTGTTATGGTACGGCTTCTTTGTGATTGCAGCCTGTTGTGTGTGTTCACTTTGCACCCTGCGAGTCTTTCACTGCGACGTCAAGCTGCGAGTGAAGGTGTGTGTGTCCTGGGTGAGGTGGTTTCACCCCTACGTTGATGCGGAGCTCTGGCGTGGAAAACCTTTGTCACCTTTGCAACTTATCATTTTTCCTCACTGCCAATCCATTCCGCGAACAACTCAATTGAGGCTTGATTCACCGCTCATGGAGTCTGTCACAGGCTTGTTTATCAGGACAGCCCATAAGAAAGCAGGCTTTGCCGGTTCCGGTTGCTTCCAGGCACCTCTGACCTCGCGATCAAACAAGGCGAATTCCCGCAACACCCGGTCTACTTGCGCAGTCATGCCCTCCTTGGGAGGGATTCTTAAACAAGAAGGCTCCTAGTAAGGTGGCCAAGACCATGGTCTACATAAGCGGTTTGGTCATGGCGCAAATATGTTTGCGAGTCTTCCAGGATGTGGCAGACACCGTGGAGCAGATGCTGGTGCAGCACGCAGAGGCGGGCTGTTCCAAAGCCCCTCCTTCAGAAGGCGTGTGTTAGGGTATGAGTCCAAAGGGGGGACCCCTCTCCTCACACACACACACACACATCTATTTGTCGTTCTTGTGTCGCTGCTTAGTTTCTCATTTGTGCATGCTGCGATTTCATTCATTTCGTTTTTTTTCTTCTAGTTTTTAACAGGATCCTGCACAGGGGTGGGCAAATCCACTGGTTTTGGGGTATTGTACGTTGTCCTTGTAATACTGCTCGACCGGGCTTCAAACCAGCACGCTGGCCCTGGCCTTCAAAGGAGCTCCTGAAGTCTTGACTAGGTTGATGGATGTCCCGTAAGCCAGAAGAGCAATGCGAACACCATTGTATCCTTTTGTGAATAGTTTGGCGAAAGTGTAGAGTTCACCTGGTTGGATCTTTTTGAGGCCGTGGCACCTCGACTTTCGCTCCGCCAGGTGTCGCATCGTTTGTACTCCGATGGTATTCGCAGGGTGGCCCGGGGTGTGCTGGAGAGGGTAGACTCATTTGAGTGGCGCGCGCACACAGAGACACACACACACACACGCACACACAACAGTGTCGCAAACCCAGACAAAAGAGACCCAGAGACACAGAGACACAGAGCCACGGAGACACGGAGACACGGAGACACAGAGAAACAGAGACACGAAGACACGGAGACGCACGGACAGGCACACACGCACACACGGACACGCGCAGACACACACTTGGAAGTACACAGAGGCACACAGATACAAACAGAGACACACAGAGAAGGAGAGAGAGAGAGAGGGACACACACACACACAGCCACACACACACACAGACGCACACACACAGACACACACACACACAGACACACAGACACACAGACACACAGACACACAGACACACAGACACACACACAGACACACACACACACAGACACACACACACAGACACACACACACAGACACACAGACAGCAGACACACACACACACAGACACACAGACACACAGACACACAGACACACAGACACACAGACACACAGACACACAGACACACAGACACACAGACACACAGACACACAGACACACAGACACACAGACACACAGACACACAGACACACACACACACACACAGAGACACACACACACACACATGCGCACACCCCAACATCCACACCCACCCACACCCCCCCCACCCACACGCACAGACACACACACACAGACACACACACACACAGACACACACACACACACACACAGACACACACAGACACAGACGCAGACACACACAGACAGGGGCACACACACAGACACGCAGACAGACACGAGCACACGCACACACACACAGACACACAGACACACACACAGACACACACACACACACAGACACAGACACACACACAGACACAGACACACACACACACACAGACACACAGACACACAGACACACAGACAGACACACAGACACGCAGACACACAGACACACAGACACACACACACACACCCACACCCACACGCACACCCACACCCACACGCACACGCACACGCACCCGCCCACCCATCCGCACACCCACCCTCCTTGCAAACGCTCGCACTCACTCACAGAGCGCGCGTGCGCGCACGCACGCACGCTCGCGCATGCCTGCACGCACATATCTCGCACAGGCGAGATAGAGCCCATGCTTGGGTGCTCGGCCAAGTTAGTAAGTAGCTACCCACCTGAGTTAGTCGGGTTCGTGGGTTATAATTAAGCCAGGTGGAGAACCTTTTGCCAACTTGGCACCGAGCACCCAAGTATGTTCTCTCGCAGACTGGCAACATCAGGGAAGCCATGAGCTGTGGTCACAAGGGCGTGTCATTTTGTTGGAGCCTTGTTTGGCAATAAAGGTTCACGAAAAGGCAAGCCATTTTGGGTTCTTCTGCTGACCTGCCCACTCCCCTTCGCAAGCGTCTCTCTATCTGAGGCCTCATGCGGCATTGGCACAGCGCGAGCCAGTGTCCCCTGGTCAAAGACATGCGCCTTTCGTTTTTTTTCAGGGGTAAGTTGATTCAAACAGCTGAACCATGGTCGTGCCACCCTATATTTTTTGTTTAAAGAACGTTGAGGTTGTTAAACAAGGGGTGTTTAAGCATGTTTAAACAAGCGGTTGGCCCCACTTTGTTTTTTTTGGTGTCAGGCATGGAGGATCTGTGTTTGTCTCAAAATTGTGGCTAGGTTGCGAGGGCGTCGAGGAAAGATACCTGCAGGCCGCTGCAGCACTGGAATGTTGCATTCCAAATTTGTGCATTGGAACATGCCGTATGGGTTTGTCCGCAACATGAAAAGTGGCCACTTGGTGTCTCTCGGAAATTCCAACGATGGGAATGAACTGACTGAGATCCCCAGGAAAACACGTCCTTCCCCGTCGCAATGGTTTTTTCTATTTTGAGCTCTCTCCAAAGAAAATTGTTGGCTAATCCCTTTCAAGCCCTTTGGAGGCCACCAGCGATTTCGAGAACCTCCGCTTTTGCGGGGACAACGAATTTTGAGGACCTCCGCTTTTGCGCCGCGGCCCGCGGAATCCGATCCCGCAGGCCTGTAGCGCGGCGGAGGCTGAGGCAGTACAGCTGGGCACCCCAGCGGGCGGCGAGATCTCGATGGCGAGAATGGTCGGCCTGCTTTGTTTTTAGGCGTCTTTTATCACGTTGTTGTTTTTGCCTGGTCCTTTTTTTTGGGGGGGTCTTTCCTCTATGTTGTTGTTTCTGCTTTGTTGCAGATACCCCGCAATCCTTTTCTTGCTGGTATGGAGGCTTCTTTTGTGGATTCAATGATCGAACGGAGCTGATTGACAGGAATCAATGAGGATTTCTGTTGGACTACGCATTTGTCAGTGGTTGGCTGAATGCGCGTTTCACGTTCTTGCTCTACGGGTGAACAGTGCATTCATCCATTGCGTGCAAGTGATTGAAAGACCAACTAGCATCAATCGAGCTTGCATAGACAACTGGCAACAACATCATCTTGCTGGTGCTCAGCAGGGAATGAGGGAATGCCCCATAAACAATCCCCTATGGTTTCCTTTAAGGGAATCCCCAGGTTCATTCCCTCATTCTCTACCCACGGAGCACCAGCGAATCATTGGTGTTTTGAGGATGGGATGGACCACTCTGCTTGCGTTCGCAAATCCTGGGGGACCACCCAGCCTTCTTTCACAAGTCCCACGAGACCACCCAAGTTGTCCGACCTGTGGTGCAGACGGGTCTATCAAGTCATTGCCGCTTTTTGCTTACGAAACATTTGCAGATGAGGTGGTGACCGAAATGGATATCCAAGGCTGTCAACACACTCGGCAGGCGGTGCTTTTTTTTGGCCACAAAGTAAAATGGTATATGATTTATGCCCTCGATTGTTCTTTTCTTTTTCCACCGCGGCCTGCAAGCAACAAGCAAGGAAGCAAAGGAAACATGTAAGCACGCAAAGCAAATCAAATCAAAGCAAAGCAAGGCAAAGCGAGGCTTGCAAGCACGCAAGCGAAGCAAAACAAGCAAGCCAAGCAAGCCAAGCAAGCCAAGCAAGCCAAGCAAGCCAAGCAAGCCAAGCAAGCCAAGCAAGCCAAGCAAGCCAAGCAAGCCAAGCAAGCCAAGCAAGCCAAGCAAGCCAAGCAAGCCAAGCAAGCCAAGCAATCCAAGCAAGCCCAAGCAAGCCAAGCAAGCCAGCAAGCAGCAGGCCAAGCAAGCCAAGCAAGCCAAGCAAGCCAAGCAAGCCAAGCAAGCCAAGCAAGCCAAGCAAGCCAAGCAAGCCAAGCAAAGCCAAGCAAGCCAAGCAAGCCAAGCAAGCCAAGCAAGCCAAGCCAAGCAAGCCAAGCAAGCCAAGCAAGCCCAAGGCAAGCAAGCTAGCAAGCCAAGCAAGCCAAGCAAGCCAAGCAAGCCAAGCAAGCCAAGCAAGCCAAGCAAGCCAAGCAAGCCAAGCAAGCCAAGCAAGCCAAGCAAGCCAAGCAAGCCAAGCAAGCCAAGCAAGCCAAGCAAGCCAAGCAAGCCGAGCAAGCCGAGCAAGCCGAGCAAGCCGAGCAAGCCAAGCAAGCCGAGCAAGCCGAGCAGGCCATGCAAGCGCGCAAGCAAGCAATCAAGGGAAGCAAGCAAATGAAGCAAGCAACCAACCTTAAACGACCCCTAAATCCACCACCATCCTAAGCCAACTCTACACCCACAAGAGGGGTGCGCGACGGTCAAGAAACATGCGAGTTGGAAAGCCATATTTTTTCCGTGGGCATGCTGGTTTTCAGTAGGGAACGAGGAAATGAACCTGGGGATTCCCTTAAAGGAAACCAAAGGGGATGGTTTACAGGGATCATTCCAACTCATTCCCTGCCTATCGCAAGCTGGCGTCTTACGCCGAGGTGCGCCGCCTTGTCGGCTCTGAAGCCGGCCGAATGGTGTTCGCCCCGGCCCATGCAGCGGTGCGGTGCGGTTTCTTTTTGGTTTTTTGGAACTCCCCACACGCCAAACCCGTCTTTTGGGGCTTAAACAAAGGGTAAAACAGACTCCAAAGACAGATTCCGGGCTGGAAACACCTGCGCCTTTCCAGCAAGTTGTGAGAGCAGGGCACCTCAATTTGGCAATTCAGAACATTCCTAGTTTGGGACCCCAGAAGAAGCAAGGTGGTTTCCTTTTGGCTTCCCTTCCAAAACCATCCAAACAGCTGCCCGATTCCTAGTCTGAGAAGAAACCAAGTGTGACAAGTTACAAATCAGCAAGCCGTGCCCTGACAAACTCATCAGATGTGAGGAGTCAGGTCATAGATTGCAATGATGATTCCCTTGTAAATACAAACAATGGTTTCAACCATGGTTTCATTTCGTGGTGCGAATTAGATTTCGTAACCATCCACAGTAGTTAGGTGGTTTCCTTTTGGCTTCCCTTCTAAAGCCATCCAAACAGGTGCCCGGTTCCTACTATGGATGGACGAAATCCTGCACCACCTAAGAAACTCTGGTTTCTGATGATTCCCTTGTAAATGACAACGTTTCCCACGGTTTCCCATGGTTTCAAATTGAATTTCGCAACCATCCACAGTAGTTTGAGACGCCCCCACAAGCGCCAGCGTCTTCAGAACCAACATCTGGGCTCAGGAAGGGCTGGGCGGAGTCCACGATCCGGAGCTCCCGGCAGGCGGAGGTTTTTTCGGGCAAGAATCAATCGATGGGTGAGCTTCCCCCAACCCAACCCCCAAAATGGCCAAACGGTTTTCCGAACAGCAGCAAAAAAGGATACCCTCAAAAACAGACCCCTCAACAATGAGTGGTTGTCCTTTGGTTTCCCTTGAAAACCAGAAAACGAGGGGTACCCAGTCCAAGAACAGACAGACCCGTATCCGCCTAAGGATTCTTAGGACCGCGTCAAGGTGTTGATGACTAGGAATTGGTTTGCCAAGCATCCGTAGTCCCACAGGCTTTCCCGAAAGCTTCACAAACCGAGCGTTGGCCAATGACTGCTTTACCTTCCAAAGGTGTTTGCACCTTGACTCAAGGTTTTATGTTAAGCCACAGCCACTTAGTGGTCATGGGTCAAAATCCCGGACCCTCAGCGAACATCCCAATCCCCACTAAAATCGACTAGAACAAAGGGGTGGTGCACCTACCCCAAAATGGGATCCCATTGGCTTTGACCCACATCGCTTGGATGGGCGGATTTTTCTGTGTTCGCTCTTGCGGCAGGCCGTGGCAGCAGAGAAGGAGCTGCACAAGGCGGACAGTTTGTTTGAGATTGACTTGGGCCGGAT